TATATCCAATAGAACACCTCTGAGATATCATGTTTCAGTCCATCCAACGCTGTCAGGTTGCACCTCAGACTGTCCAGGAGCTCAGTGATGCCCTAGTCCAGATCGGGGAGGAAACACCCCAGGACACCATCCGTCGTCTCATTAGGAGCATGCCCGATGTTGTCAGGCAAGCATACAAGCATGTGGGGGCCATACAAACTACTGAGTACCATTTTGAGTTGCTGCAATGAAATTTCAGCAAAATGGACTAGCCTGCTGCATAATTTTTTCACTTTGATTTTTGAGGTGTCTTTGAATTCAGTCCTCTGTAGGTTGATACTTTTCATTTCCATCAAACGATGGGGCATCCTTATGTTCCTAACACATTACCCAGTCCATATTAGTATAGATATCCAGTATGATACTTTTCCCCATTGCGATTTGATGTTTTTGAAGTGTTCCTTTAATTTTTTTGAGCAGTGTATTATTTCTTCATACATGTGAAAGCTCTTCGGTATTATGGTATTCTAAGGAGCTCATTTAAAAAAACAGCATTATAGCTGCACTACATATTTATAAATCACAGCTACGTATTTGGGACTCTGAAGCCATACCTCCCATCTTTAAAACTGTAAAAAGAGGGACGTAATGGGAAGCAGCATTTAGGATGGTTGGGGGGATATGCTGAAACCAGAAAAAGCAGAAATTAGTTCTATGGAAAAAAATGTAGATGAGAGTCTGGTCATGTGACCTGTCAAAGCCAGATGACTGACCAGTTCTCTCTTCCTCATTTTAAGTGGAACTAAATGAATGCTAACTGTCACATTTGCTTGTTCTCTCAACAGAACTGTCAAACCATTGAATGGCTGGTGTCATATCTGATCACATGCACACCACCATGAAAACAGCAGATAAAAAAAGGCTAAGATATTAGCTTCTTTAGCTGTAAAGAATAGAAAGATTTAGTTCTGTTTTAACTCAGTTATGAGGGTCCAGTTAAAGAGAGACAGTCTGAAGGTATGCAGCCTCTGTATTCCTCTGTTTTAGAAAACCCTTGGCTTTGTAAATGCTGTGTCATAGGAGCCCCATGTATAAATGATTATCTGTAAAAAGCAATTGTATATACATACTAAAAAAATGTATAAACCTCATATAACAATGACCAAAAACATGATTTTTTTCTTTCAATAAACAAAGTGGGAGCTAATGGATGTACATAACAGCCATGTTTCAATTGACTTGTATTGATTTGTATTCTCTAATTTTTATATAATCAACTTGAAATTGAAAAAAACAAATCACCCATTCAGACAAGTAAATTGCCTTTCAGCTGTTGTATTTTAAAGTATACTAACTTGGAGGTGAGAAAAGCAGGTACTTAGGTAGTTTGTCTTTTGAGAAAATTGACTTAAAAGATACAGAATAATTGTTTAAAAAGGCCAAGATTAAGTAGAAAAACATCACATTCTGAAAAAATAGCTAGATTACTATTTTTGAATAGAATTAAACCTCAGGTTTATTTTGTAAGTATTTTAAAGTTCAAAATCTGACTTTTTTTTCTTTGCATTTAATAAAAACAAATTATTCTTTTTAAATTACATCGCTCTGAAACTTTATAAATGCAAGAATAGCAAATGCAGGGAGGAATTACACATCTAATTTATCACTAATAATAAGTGACAAATGGAATCCAAAGTGTACCCATGTTCTTAGATAAAACTCTATTCTTTATTTCCTTTGCTACTAAGCAAAGAAAGTAAGAATTGTCCTTATCCTTTTTTTTTGTAATTGTGAACAATGTGCTATTTTCTAAAGGTGAGAAACTATGACACTTTCAAAGCACAATAAACTTTTAAAGATTCAATATCTACATCCACCACCCTCCTCCACCAAAGCATGTATATTTATTATGACAGTACAGGAACTCTTTATTAACATACTGAAAAGTGGACGTGCTCAGGGGTGTATTTACCACAAGGCAAACAAGGCATTTGCCTAGGGCTGCATTTTTTCAGAGGGGCAGCAGCATTTTTCAGGGGGGCAGCGCTGCCCTTCAAAAGAAGGGATGGAAGACAGGACACTGGGGTGGAGTGTTGTTGGTCAATGTCAGGCTCTTATTGTGGGGAAGGGGGGTGCTTATCAGTGTCAGAATCTCTCCGTGGGGGGGGGGGGGGGAGGAGCAGATTTTTGTGTTGCCTAGGGCAGCATGAAACCTAAATACACCACTGGATGTACTAGGTAGTGGCAGTCAACTTTCTTAATATAGAGGGCCTCAATTATGGCCCCTGACATCACTAAAGGGGCCACACATAATATTCACTGAATGTAATACTACAAAAACTGTCAGAGACTGCAGACATGCATTGATAGATGTTGAAAAACTGCAGACATGCTGCATGAATTGTTGGAGAGTTGAGACGCGCTTCAGGAGACATAGAGGTTGATCTACTAAAGATAAATAGGCTGTTGACCTTTCAAGTGTAGTTGCACTTTGCAGGTGATTTTGCCCCAGAGCTATGTGGTGAAGTTTCTTTTAGAATATCCAATCACATGCGAAAAAAATAAAACCGCAATTTTGCTTACAATTGATTGGATGATGGAGTCTCAAGAAACCTGGAGTTAGGCTTTAAAGAGTATTTTTCCTTCACTGACCTGATCAGCATCTAGTGAAGGAAAACATAGACTACGGTCTGCAAGGGCACTGAGGGCTGCACAATAAATGTCAAAGAACCAGAGGTCACGTACCAGTGTGCAAACATTGTTAAATGTTGCCATGTTATTGAAAGAAATATTTTTTTCTCTATATACGTTAAAATATCTTTGGGAATAGAAGAACTGTTACAAATTAATGACTCTCAGAGATATAGCATTTTAGTCAGCGATATTAAAGACAATTTACCAAATTATAATTGGTTTAAAAAGGAATTCTCAGAGCAAGCATTCCCACGTAATATAGAAAAAAAAGTTAAACATCCATTAAGTGCTAGCTATATTTGTTGAATGGAAATTTCTAAGTATAAGAATTAGTATCTTATAATGGTAGATTTATTATTATTAATTCCCTAATTTTTTAGCATTGAAAAGCTGAAAATAAACCAAACAGAAAGGCTTGCGTGGGTATAAAAAAAAAAAACTCCTCAGTTTATTGGTACAAAAACTAGGTATGTACAAAAAAAAAACTCCTCAGTTTATTGGTACAAAAACTAGGTATTCAAAAATATGAATGTATACAATTATATCAACCAAAATTACAGTAGTAACCTCAACTTATATAGCACATATACAATTTATGTAAAGAGGTCTTACTTTTAGTAAGTTTACTAAGCCTTATGGGTTGCTTCACATTGCCCTGCTGTGCTTTTGCTAAAGCTCAGCTAACGCACAATTTTCATGCAGGTAAGCGCTGCTTTCCCATAGACTTCTATGAGGTCCTGCAGGTTGGGTGTGCAGCACAGGGACAGTGTAAAGCTGCCCTAACTAATCAAACCAATCAAAATCTTTGCTGAAATCAGACCAGTACAATATGAATTCTGATTTTTTATTGTAAACAATTAATTCCTTATGTAGCTGGGATTTTATTTATTTATATTTTTCTAAATATATAGTGATAGCCAGGGTTATCTATTACATGTGCAGTATCTAATCCCTCCACTGTAGTGCTGCACAATGGTTGTACTGTACCACTCCTCTCTCTCAGTTCATTGATTACACTATGTGGCTGTTATATCAAGCATCGCTAATCAAAGCCTTGGAATACTGATCTCCCTGTAATGGCTAATTTGATTGCCATGCATCAGTAATGTATAAAATCATTTTTTAAATTAAAAATAATTTTAGGTGATATTAACACTTATTTTCTCACCAGGCAGGATTTTTTGAAGAAGGAAATACTGTGAGAGTGCAGGACACTACATTAATAAATAAAAATATATTTTTTTAAAACCTGCAATACTTATTAATACAGTTGACATACATAAAAAGAACAAGCTATGTGAGCGCTGGGTTGCGGTATAGATGGAGAGCTGGCAGCATAAAGAGGGAAACCTCAAGATCCTCCAGTGAAAATATAAGCAAGTGAAAATATGCAGTGCTAAAATGATATTAATGAAGAATAAATATGCGTATATAAATAAATATGAAAATTAGTAAATATAATAATGGTATTCCAAACTGGCGTTTAACAACGCTCATGAGGTAAAAACAGTCTTGGATAAAATCCCATAAGGTGCATAAAGTGACAATTGTGCTCTAGTCCGTATGATAAATATTGCGAATATCCGTGATTGTTGTGGCTGTGAAAATAGGTGTACAAAGCACTAACCAGACAGCACAAGTGATTGTGCGTTGGAGTATATAAGACCTACTCCTTGGTACTCAGGGAATGGAACCTATGCACATGGAACCTTGGAGTCGTCAGGGAATGGAACCTTGAAGTCGTCAAGGCAGAAACCCACCACCAGGTGTCATCCATCCAGGACAAGTTACCAGTCTCCAGCAGTACAGATCTCAGCCATCAGGACAGGTTAACAGTCTTGTGCTATACAGATCTCAGCCATCAGGACAGGTTAACAGTCTCGCGCTATACAGATCTCAGCCATTGGGGGGATCATGCAAATATGCATAGATCAGGTAGGAAGAAGCACCTTAGGAGAAGGGGGGCTCGCCAGCGAAAGAAACGAGCCCAAGAGAAGAAAAGCTCCAATAGTGTAGTAATTTATTTCTTCAGGTATAGGTGACAACAAAAAACAAAAATCAGACACTTACATATATCAATCCATTAGAGCCACCGGCCATAAGTGGGGCCATGCGGTGTGCAGGTGAAGGTTAGGTGCACCTCGCTAACACGTTTCGTGTAACACACACTTTATCAAAGGGAGCTGACATACATATTTAACTTTCCATTAAAGTATTAACTTAGCTGCGGTGGAAGGGAAAGGGTTTACTGTCCAATTACAGCTCAATAGCAACAAGTAAGTTGTGATAAACCTCCTTCACTGATGTGCACCAATGAGGCTGCAATTATGGGCATTGATAAGCGTCACTGTTGGGCACTGATATGCAGCACTGATGAGGAGGCACTGATAGGTGGCACTGATGGGCATGGGCAGGCATCACTTATGGGCATTGACAGGCATCACTGATGGGCACTGATAGGCTCTGATAGGCGGCACTGACTGGCACTGATGGGCAGCACTGAAAGGTATGCACTGAAATGTGGTATCGATGTGCACTGGTAGGCACTGATATGTGGCATTTATGTGCCCAGGTATGTGGCATTGATGGGCACTTACAGGTGGCATTGATGGGCACTGACAGATGACACTGATGGGGAGTAATGCCGATTACCGGCTCTCCTCTCTTCACAAGCTTTTAGCGGGAAGAGAGGACTGCCGATAACCAGCATTTCCTATTTACATGTGATAAGCTGTGATTGGACACAGCTGATCACATGACAGAGCCAACATGGCTGATCGTGGCGCCGCACGCCCCCAAGGGTTCGCACACGCAGTTAAAGTGGGAGGACATCATTTGAAGTCCTCCCAGAACGAGGGAACTGCTGCCCTCCTATCATTTCCTTATATGGCAGACGGGAGGTGATTAAAATGCATGACACAACGTAATTTTGAGGTCACACACACAGTCATAGGCCATCTCTCTTAAGAGCAAAGTTCTCTATGTGTGTTTTGCTTGAGCTGCCAAAATTCATTTTTAAAAATGATTTAATATAGCAGTCCAGAGTCATAACATTTACAGATGATAGCTGGAAAATTTTACTTCCCAAGATACATTTCATTAAAGAAAATAATTCTTTACTATTATATATATTATATTATCTTAGTATTATTTATTTAAAACTTTTTTTAATATTGTTTTATATTATTTTTGTATCAGAGGGGCCCCTATACAGAAGGGGGTCCACGGCAGTTGCCCCTTTTGCCCCCTTATAAATCTGGCACTGCCTGCACCATTTCTTTTGGCTCCCGTAGTATAGAAGAGCTTTATGTCTTTACTTTAAAGGGTAAGCTATTCTTCATTTTACTCTTTTTTTTACTTGATGTTTATAAGAAATGTACATTAGTACAATTTATTTCTAATGAATGCCTTTTTTTCCAACCAACTTGGCCTCAATGACTGAAGGCCATTACAAGTCCAGTAATGATGATCATTTCATATCCTTCTGATGTTTCCATTTATCCTTGGTACACATGGAAGCTCTGCAATGCCTAGACAAAATATTGACTAAGGGGGTGATGTTTATAAGAAATGTACATTAGTACAATTTTTTTTAGAATTAATGTCTTCTTTTCCAACCAACTTGGCCTCAATAACTGACGGCCATTACAAGTTCAGTAATGATGATCATTCCAAATCCTTCTGATGTTGCCATTTAACCTTGGTACACATGGAAGCTCTGCAATGCCTAGACAAAATATTGACTAAGGGGGTGATGTGTAACTGATGTACAAACAAAATTCTAATTGCATAATGTCTTTTGGCACATAGCAACCAATCAGAATCCTTGTTTCATTTTTAAACCTGTACTGCAGAAATGATGTCCAAAAACAGATTAGTTACTATTGACAAGAATTTCTTCTTACAAAGTTTTTTTTCATGCATTTAAAAATAAGAGACTTGTAACTGAGATAATCAAACAATTGTTCCAATGGTGTGGTAGTTATAAAAATGTGCGAAACATTACTAACTCAATAACTAGTTGGGTGTAGTCTGCCAGCTAATCTTACAGTGTGGCAAACATTTGATTGGCTGCTTTGCTTTCCTCCATTTTTTAACAGTCATCAGTGCACATATTTTACTGAATTTCCCTAAAGGAGCCTCTTGTCTGAGCTGCCAATTTCTACGAACGTCCCAGCAGAACTACTATAGGATAATGCATTGCGTTTCCTCACTTGCCCTTAAATCCCATGTTTGCTGAAGAGTCTTGTTAAATCAAAACCCTTGTCGCTGGGCTGTTAAAGATGAATCTCAACTCATTGAGGAAGACAGGGGATGACAAACGGCCCGTGCTTTACCATTTTCATAATAGCCATAAATTTCGGCGAGAACATTTCCACCGTATCTTGGTTTATAAGGAAATATTGCTGTTCTCTAGTGTTTGAAAATGAGGCTGCACTGATCATTGTAAAGAATCAGCGTGAGTACAATCTCCTGGACAGCCGTGAGTACAGGAGGTGTTTGCCATTAGTTTTACTGGATTAAACATGACATATAACAACATAAAATATAACGCAACAATGCAGAATGCAAAAAACTTCTACATTTCATTGTTTCAGAGAAAATTGTATTTAAAACAGCCACATTAATGCTTTGTGACTTTGGGGAAAAAAAATTACACTCCTTAATTGAAAAATTAGTATGATGCCCCATTCCTCCTACTCATGGGTACATGTCTAGGAAAATACATTTTAGATTCTGCATATTGCAACTCTGCAATTCTCTATCAGGCAACAGAGGAGTAGAATGAACTAAAAAGATTTCTATTCTACAATGGTAATTTTCACTATTCTACTCTGTTTAAAGTGTATGTGGTTGATTTACTAAAGGCAAATAGACTGTTTACTTTCTAGGAGAATTTTACCCAGAGCATAGTGAATGAGGTAAGGATCTGCTGACTTTCATCATCTAATCATGTGCAATAAAAAATTGTGTTTTTTTTTTCTATTGTATTTGCACTTGAATGGGTCTTCTTTGCAAAGTTGTATTTCACCACATTTACTAAACTGTGGTGAAAATTCTCTGCCTATTTGCCTTTAGTAAATCAACCTATGTAATCTCAAACAAGATTTTGTTCTTGCAAATATATCCTTAAAAGCAGTTGGTAAAGTGGTTGTAAAGTTCAGACATGAACTATAAACAAAGCATGTCCCTCCATAGTGTGTACTTGTCTCAATCTAGAGCACTAAGTGTCATTTATGTCTGCTGCTTCATTCCTCTTTTATCAGAGAGTCACTTTTGACAAGTTTTTCCAACACCAAGAGAAAAAAAGGTGACGTGGAGGGACCTCCATCAAATTGACAGCCTCAGCTCTGTTCCTGTGGGCTGTGTAAAGGTGGGCGTGTCTCTTCCCTCCAATCAGCTCTCAGAGTTCTCCTCACTGAGCCCCCTTTTTTTCTGAACTCTTAGACAAGCTTTATTAATTCAGCACTTTGAACTGATGTAGAGAAAAGAAGTCTGCAGATAAACAGGTACAACGTCTTTGTGAGAATTTGTTTAATCTCTGTGTATCACCTGAGGCCAGTCACTTCACTGGGTATATATGAGGGTTTACAACCACTTTAAATCTGTTCAATAAGTGCAGAAGAGAGCAAAAATCATGTTGATCCTGGCAGAAACCCAGTGAGCTTGCTGCACTGAACTCTCAAGTGTTATCATCTCTACCTAGTTTACTTTTGTGCTCTACAGAACACCTCTCATCTGTGTTATGGTGATGAAAAGAGACGGATGTCTTATGTAATCCAAATCAGAAGTGAGCAGCCTAGGGTGACAGTGCTGTCTTTCCCTAGATACAGAAGAGTGAGTAAGTGTTGACACACTAGGAAATGAAGGTTGTTACTGGAAGGATCGTAAAAACAAAAAATGAAAAAAGAACAAATGCAGCCTCCACATCTAAGAACCAGTAATCTGCAATGTATTATGTTCTTGGGTTTTGATTCACTTTCAGATTTACTTCTTGACGCAGCGGAGGAAGTGGATACGGATACATAGTTGAGGGTGACAGGTCCTGGCATAAAAATTGCTTTCCAACTTTAAAGAATGTGTTAACCACTTGAAGTTAGTATTTTTAACATCCCTTTATGTATCATAAAACACAATTATAATGTCTTTTATTAAGATTTCTCTTCTGTAGCAACCCACAGCAACCAATCAGAGAAGAACATTCTGCTGATCCTAGACCAATGAAAACTAATCTTTAGTTACTATAGGTTATTGTATTCAACATTTTTTGCACTACAGTATTAAAGCCGAACTCCTTCAGTCCTTGATGGTAAATATAAGTCACCATTGTTTGGGTTGCGGCCCCTTTAAGGGGCACAACAAGAGAGGTGTCTTTGATTGCTAAGGATTAATCCACCTGTGAGACAGGTCTAAAAAGAGCAGGAAGCAGTCAGCAGATGTATGTCAAGTGTTTGTGGAGCTGAACATAGGGGGTTATTTACTAACACTGGAGCATGCAAAATCTGTTGCAGCTCTGCATAGAAACCAATCAGCTTCCAGGTTTTATTGGCAATGCTTAATTGAACAAGTTGAAGTTAGCAGCTGATTGGCTACCATGCACAGCTATACCAAATTTACTGTGTTCCAGTTTTAGTAAATCTACCCCACAGTGTGCTCTGAGCTACTCTTTGCTGAGACTCTGCTTGCCTCTGTAACCTTTGTGGGACTCTGGAAGTAGGTGGGAACTGTAAACCCTATTGTGGCACAGGTTTCCACTGGAGGTGAGACAAATTTTGTTTTGTACCCAAGGTATATGGAATGTTTTGTTTGCAAAGCTACCTTGTTTTGGCTGGTGGGAACTGTAAACCATATTGTGGCACAGGTCTCTACTGGAGGTGAACCAAATTTTTATTTTGTATCAGAGGTGTATGGACTGTTTTGTTTGCAAAGCAACCTTGTTTTGGCTGGTGACTCCAGGCTTCCTCCATATCACAATATGAAAGCACACAACTGATTGAGTCCTGGTGCTGCCCTTTCATTCCAAGTCTGAGTAACATTTGCTTTAATTAAGCAGTATAATATTGAAGTCTGAACATTGGGGAGAGGAGACAACTACCTCCTGTCTATAGTGACTGATCTCAGCCTAGGCAAAGTTACTTGCCTGGAGCTCAAGGCCATCTTTTTTATTGATAAAAGGTGAGTATATTGTGAAAAATATACTGTTTGTGTATACTGTGAAATATCATAAATGTTTTCATACATACTTACTAAAAGGTCCACTCTACATCTGTGTACTATGTTTTAATGTCACCCAAGCTTGCTGCATGAAAGCAGGAATATTAGTTTAATTTCATTATATAGGAGCAGGTCCTTCTACAACTTAAATTAAAGTTTTATTCAGTATTTACATGCAGTTAGTAACAGGGGGTCAATAAAAAAG